TTTATTAACATAAGTACACACAGAACAGACTGACCTCAACCTGAAGCCAGGTGACAGCTGTTTCCAAAACTATCATCTGTTTACTGACGTGAAACAAGAAAAGGTATATGAGTGATTGCTACCGATTCCTATGACAGCTTCACATAACACTTGTAACTTCCCCTTAATTTGTATAGCCAGAAGCCAATCAGTTTTATTTCATATGCAAATGCTACTATAAAGCAGGGCAAATACGAACCCATTGAAACGCACTGTTATAAAGCACAAGGCATACACTTCTCAAATCACTTCACGTACTTTTTATTTAGTGTCTCTGCATTGCATTCCTTCTAGCAAGGAATTAAGAAGTTCAAAACCATTCAGCTGTGTATATTCAAGAAGCACCACACAAGACAGTAAATTTCAGCTGTTTTCTCATCTCCAGTGTTATCTATAACATGAGTTCTCATACACTGTGCCAGCTGTGCCGATCAGAAAGATAACTTTGCAAATTTAACTGTTGTTCAATCAGTCAGACCTCAGTCAGAAGTCCCTGAATGAGTGAAATGATTCCACTGGGCTCTACACGATTTTAAAATTATGTAAGCACATCATAACAGCATCAGAGAAATAAGTTACCCTATGAACACCAGAATAAAGGAAAAGTAGCTTCTTGTGGATTTATTTTTGTCCTTACCTTTCTTTCTCCTTCCAGGTCCCTCTGTACACTTGTTGGTAACCCCACTGGGTTAGAGGCAGCATTTACTTTGGCTTGGTCCAAGAACCAGGAATATATACTGACTGACATATATAGTCCACTGCAGCCAAGTGGAATATATGCCATTCGCGTTCCACCTATTCTCCCTGAGTGGAGGCATGCATTCTGGTCTTTGTGTTCTAACTACCAACCAATTTCATAAAACTTACGGAAATTTAATTACACTAGACTTTCATTCCTCTGACAAATTTGACTGAAACTGGATGTTCGGATTCATGTGTCATTTAGTACGGACACAGATATAGGTGGGCGGGGGGAGTAAAAGGAACTGAACAATCACATCAGCTTCAGACTTCAGAGAACTTGGCTAGAAAAGATCATAGTTTGAACTACCATGCTTTCCACAGGGATATTTTTATAGAGTGCTGCTGCATAAAAAATTAGAATAACTTGAGATGCTATTGTTTCACGTGAGATGGGATATGCTGGTGTGCGTGCAGTAGAATAGATGCTGCAATTCCCACAGCACACCAGGACATCTCCCTTTGCCAGGGGAGGGGGTGGAATCTTCAGCCAAAGGAAGGCTCTGATGGGCCAGGAACTGCACAGTTGCTTTCATCAAATCTTAATGTAATGAGTAATGATGTGCATTATTTTGAAAAACAACAAAGGCATGATTGG